GGGGGTCGGCGCCGGGGATGCCGCGTAGGGACGGCAAGCGCCTTCTCCCACCCCCGCCCGTCTGGGGTGCGGCGCAAAAGCGAGCCGGGGGGGAGCCGCCGGGATGGCTGACACGCGCAGGGTGCAAACGAGGGCGAGTCACCGGCCGCCAGGCAGCACGAGCACCTGCAGCGCCAGCTCCCACCCCGGCCGTGCCGCCGCCGCCGCCGCTCCACAGCAGCGCGACGTGCGCGCACAAAACGGACAAGCCTGGTACAAAACGTGCGCACATAAAAGGTACAGATGTGTGCACAACACGTGGCACAAAATGCGTGCACAACATGCACAAGTCTGCGAGCCCACGCATAAAAGGTACAGATGTGAAAAGGTACAGATGTGTGCACAACACGTGGCACAAAATGCGTGCACAACATGCACAAGTCTGGCACAAAATGCGTGCACATAGTGCGGTATAAAAGGTACAGATGTGTGCACAACACGTGGCACAAAATGCGTGCACATAGTGCGGTATAAAAGGTACAGATGTGTGCACAACATGCGCTATAACACGTGACACAAAATGCGTGCAGTGTGGTATAAAATGTACAAACGTGGCGCAAAATGCATGCACATGTACCAAAATGGTACCAAATGCGTTCACATAGTGTGGTATAAAATGTACAAATGCGTGCACAACATGTACACATGTTGCACAAAATGCGTGCACATAGTGTGGTATAAAAGGTACAAATGTGTGCACAACATGTACACATGTTGCACAAAATGCGTGCACATAGTGTGGTATAAAAGGTACAAATGTGTGCACAACATGTACACATGTTGCACAAAATGCGTGCACATAGTGTGGTATAAAAGGTACAAATGTGTGCACAACATGTACACATGTTGCACAAAATGCGTGCACATAGTGTGGTATAAAAGGTACAAATGTGTGCACAACATGTACACATGTTGCACAAAATGCGTGCACATAGTGTGGTATAAAAGGTACAAATGTGTGCACAACATGTACACATGTTGCACAAAATGCGTGCACATAGTGTGGTATAAAAGGTACAAATGTGTGCACAACATGTACACATGTTGCACAAAATGCGTGCACATAGTGTGGTATAAAAGGTACAAATGTGTGCACAACATGTACACATGTTGCACAAAATGCGTGCACATAGTGTGGTATAAAAGGTACAAATGTGTGCACAACATGTACACATGTTGCACAAAATGCGTGCACATAGTGTGGTATAAAAGGTACAAATGTGTGCACAACATGTACACATGTGGTGCAAATATGCGTGCACCTAATGCGGTATTAAGTGTGCGCACACAATGTACAAGTGTGGTACAAAACGCGTGCACACCACGTGGTATAAATATGGCACAAGACGTGCAGACGTGCCCCCCGGACCGAGCGGAGCGCCCCGGGGCGCCGAGCGGCGAGTCAGGCAGGGCGGAGCCGGACCTGTCAGTGATGCAACACTGAAAGGACGATCTCCTCCGTGAATCGTCTCGGCTCACAGAAGCGACTTGTCCCCAGCACAAACACGATTGACGCGGAGACACAAAAGGCCTCTCCGCTCCCAGGTTAGATCAGAAAAGTGGCCTCGCCAGCTCCTGCTCTTCGTGCCTTTTTCAAATGTCCGTGAAGAGGATCGCCTGGCTGGGATGAATCCCTGCTCGCGGAGTCCGGGGCAGAGCCGCCCGCCCCGCGCC